ATATATATATATATATATATATATATATATATATATATATATATATATATATATATTTATATTTATATTTTAGTCTAGCTGCAGCAAGAGACAGAAGGAGACAGGAGACTGCGGCGATGCGTCTCAGGTGGGGCCGTCCGCTCCTGGAGTCTCCGCAAGGTGCAGCAGCAGCAGCAGCAGCAGCAGCAGCAACAGCACCAGCAGCAGCAGCAGCAGCAGATGAAGGCATACTTACCCCTGAGGATCTAGAGGGGACCCTGCGGCATGCCCCCACCCCACCTGGGGGACTGCTGCTGGGCCGTGCAGCAGCAAGAGCTCGTGAGAAGGCTCGAGCAGCAGCAGCAGCAGCAGCTGCTGCTGCTGCTGCTGCTGCTGCAGCCGGGGACATCCCCACAGGCTCAGAGACACCCACTCCTACTGCTGCTGCTGCTGCTGCTGCTGTTGCTGCTGCTGCTGCTGAGGAGAAAGAGTCAGCTGCCAGGCGACGATACAGCCACCGCAAAAGGATACTGGAGGAGGAGGGCTGGGACTTGCTGCACCGCCGGGTGGGGGCTATGCGAGACATCAAGCTCTGGCTGTAGAGACACACACACAGCCCCACACCAGACTCGTATTTGTACTCCATACAACGACATGCATGCATGCATGCATGCATGCATGCTAGTGCATGCATGCTAGTGCATGCATGCAAGTGCATGCATTCATACAAGTGCATGCATGCAAGTGCGTGCATGCAAGTGCATGCATGCAAGCGCATGCGGTTGCATGCACTAGATACAGATGCATGCATCCAGGATGTCTGCACAAGACACAGAGATAGACACATGCATGCAGCTGCATGCGCCAGGCACAGACGCATGCATGCAGCAGCCGCTCAGGACTGTATATGGGGCTTTGAAGCCCTTGGGAGACCACTCGACACAGCAGCAGCTGCAGCAGCAGCTGCAGCAGCAGATGCAGCAGCTGCTGCAGCAGCAGTCGCAGCATACGCAGAGTCCATAACGAAACCCTGCCTGCAGGAAGAGACGCATGCAGTGTTGGTCACCGATATAGATGCACAAGCTGACAGCAGCAGCAGCAGCTGCTGCAGCAGCAGCAGAAGCTGCTGCTGCTGCTGCTACTACCGCAGCCGCTGCTGCTGCTGCTGCTGCTGCTGCCACAGCAGCAAGGAAGCCTGTGTCATCGGGTCCTCCTTGCGTGCTGTTTGCTGCTGCAGCCCAGTAGGCTTGCTGCGTTTGTCTGCGAGCTGTCTCCTTGAGACACTGGGGCTGCTGCTGCAGCTCTTTGCCTCTTTAAGCTTGTCTTGTCTCTCTTCTCGCCCCAGTAGTGCTTGCTGGCTGCCGACGCCGCCAGCGCAGTGTCTCCGCTGCCAGCAACGATACACTTCATATCTCGTTGATGCTCGCATTATACATATATATATATATATATATATATATATATATATATATATATATATATATATTATATGTATGGTTTAACGGGTCTATAAGTATGCAGTTCCTAGTATAGGCATATTTATACAAGAGGGAGACAAGTATATTACTTTTTATCTATATAAAGAGACTACACATAGGGGCCTATACAGGCAAAACTAGAGAAAGTAATGAGGCCCGCGCAGCCTCTTATCTAGCGTCTGCATCTCTGCCTGTGGGCCTCTCTATACTGGCGACAGCCCCGCTTCGCTGGGGCCCACAGCGCGGCAGCGGTCCCCCGCTGGGTGCTGCTGTCTTTGCTTTGCTGCGTATGAAGCAGCAGAGTCTCTCCCGTCTCTCTAGGGACTAGCGAGGGGATGAACTGTCCCTTCCTGTGTATCTATGCTCCTGGCTGTTGCTTTGGCTTCATATCAGACCCCCCTGACGCTGGGAGCTGCTGCGGCTGCTCTGAGCCTGCTGGTGAGTCAAAGAAGTTTCAGTTCTACAAACCTCCCCAGCCAGCCCAGTGCGGGCCCCGGCGCCTGTACTGGCTAAGCCTAGCGATTCATCCTCTTCGCCTCGGTGGCAGCGGCCTCAGCCCCAGCCGTCTCTTCGTGCTTCTATGAGCGGTGGGTTAGCGCTGCGCTGCGGCTGCGGGGGGGGGGGCGAGGGGGNCCGTCTCTTCGTGCTTCTATGAGCGGTGGGTTAGCGCTGCGCTGCGGCTGCGGGGGGGGGGGCGAGGGGGAACTGCTCCCGCGCAGTGTGGCTGACTCACTCGCCACCCCGTATCAGATGAGTCGTTACTAACAGGGACCCGAAGCTTGTTGGGGCCCTCTGGCCAGAATTTATGATGCGGGCGGCTGAAGGTGCACGGCCAGTGCATGAAAAACTACAAACAACCAGAACACTGAAGGTCTCAACCATCACAAGCCACACAACAATAAACTAGTTTATTCGGCTCGCTACACAGAAGAATTCATCAGCGCGGGTAGACTTTCTTCCTTGCGCGGACTCGAGTTGTATGTGAAAGTGCACTCGTCGGCTCCATAGCCCCAGGAGGACTCCATGCTCCCCACCGAACCCCTCTCGGCAAGATAAATGTTGGGCCCGGCCTTGCACAAGTAGCCCGGTATCCCCGTCTTTCTGCAGTAGAACTTCTCCGGGTGCAGGCTGCCGTTGCTTGTGAACGCATGGACAAAGCGCGGCACAGCTTTGTCTGTTCGTCAGGATATGAGCTGCGGCAAAATACTGTGAACAGTTACTTTCCAGCATAGGCGGCTTCGTCGTGCTGCATTCGCAGGCTTGGCGAGCCAAGCACGAATGCCAACAGCAGCTGGCTGAAGATAACTTGCGGTTCGTTGCTCGCACGCAGGTCAACGTGCTGGCTGACACCATCCCTTCGGTGGTGGTATCAGCACAGCACTTGGGTGAAGCATCGAAAGCTTCTCCATGCAGGAGGTGTATAACTCTGCGAACGAAAATATTTGGCTGGATAGACAGCCTAGGGAGTGAGAGATCGAGTGGGTTTCGGAGGACCGCTTGGGCGAAGCCATTCCTTACGTGCTTCTACGCGCTTTCACTGATGCAGCAGTGTCTATCGCTTGTTTGCCTGTGAAAAGAAGTGCTTAGCTTTATGCTGCATACAACCTTCGTAAACAAATTTTTTTTTCACGGGGTAACAAGGACCCGTATCTTCAGATATATCTTCTCTTCTGCTCGAACTATTTTCTGCAGCCATCTATGCCCCTTCCCCCAATGATATTTGGTCGGCTCTGCACCCAAAGAGATGCTCATCTTTTTGCATCCTCGGCGGCTGGGCTCCAGGAGTAAGTTCAATGCGCTGCACTGGACGTATAGACTGTGGGCGGCCCGCCGGCAAAGCGCAGCTTTGTTTTATATGAGTACAGCTGAGAGCTCTTCCTTCAGCTGTGCCAGCTTTTATTGTTTATGGCGTGGGGACGGGATCGAACCCCCCGCAACTGCTGTCTACGTAAGACCATCACGACTGAGCGCTTGGATTTGTCCTTCGTTTCCCCCAGTGTTTCTGCTTTTTGGTGAAGCTTCATCACTCCTTTTTCCGGGGACACTGATTCTACAGTTCCCCTGCAAAGGATGCATGCGCTGCTGCGAGAGATGAGATATGTTTTCTCTCATTCTGTCTAGGCTTATAGATCTTATGAGGGTCTCCTGGCGCCCAAGAGCANATGAGATATGTTTTCTCTCATTCTGTCTAGGCTTATAGATCTTATGAGGGTCTCCTGGCGCCCAAGAGCACGCAAGCCACTTACACTTTGGATTAGCTCACCAGGAGATAATCATAGGCATTCAGCGGGTGAATAAGTGGGTGTGGGTGTGAGGTCCTGTCTCCTGGTGGTATGAGTTGATAGCAAACTAAATACTTTCACAGGCTGGGCTCGAGGAGTAAGTTCACTGCGATGCACTGGACGTGTAGTCTGTGGCGGACCCGCCGGCCGTCGCCTTCTGTGTTGCATCGGTGGGTGTTGCGGGGAGGCGGCAGCCTGAAGCGGGGTTGCAGCGCACCTCGCTGCGGCTGGTGATACAAGCCAGCCCCACGCGTGCAGGCAACGAGCCTTCAACGAAGCTTCCTTTGCTGCATGCGTTACCTCTGCATGCACTTATAGAATGTTTGTATTTGCTTACACGCAACAACCTACACAGACAAAGTGAAGGCTCCTGTGCTGGCTGCAGGCAGAGCACGCTACAGTATGCAGCAGGCCGCCCAGCCGTGAGGGGTGAAATCCATTGCTTACACAGCCCCCTAC